ATGTCTGACTGGGCCTCGTGCCACTTTATGTTCAACAAATTGGGCCCTGAGGTCAAAAAGGTTAAGAACCCCTGTGCTAAGGCCATCACTCTTCATGTGAAAGTGGCAGCAGTAAACAATTTGTGGATTCCTGATAAAAAAAAGTGTTTCACTTCTCACACATTGCATTGCACCTGCAGAGTTCACAATCCTTTTTTTAACGTTCAGGGCTTTGCTTTGACTCTGCGATCAAAATCACGTGTTAGTAATGTGAAGAGGTATGACAGAGAGAGTTTTATCTCTAAAGCCATTTGTTGTCATCAAGTTCTCAGCGACCTGCAACCATCGAGTGCTGTGGCACCTAACAGCTGCATTCTCCCTCCAGCATCTCTGTGATAAACCAGTAGTAATGGTTTGTTTTATCCACAGTTAGAGGCGATACAGTCATAAAAGTGATTTTTATGACTGGGGGAAACCGTAGCTATCCATTTTTATCTATCATCTTTGACTGTGTTTTTTGTCCCTTCAGCCCTCTGTGGTGGGAATATAACATCCATGAATGGGACGATTTACTCTCCTGGACATCCTGCTGAGTATCCACACTTCCAGGATTGTGTGTGGACTGTCAGAGTACCTCCAGGTTATGGCATCTACATAAATTTCTCTGTTATTAATACGGAACCAATCTACGACTACATAACTGTTTGGTAAGTTCACCGTTCTCCCTCCGTACAAATTGATTAATTAATCATCCCAATATGGCACAAATTAAACACAGTTTTTTAATTATGAAAAAGCTTAGCTGCCAGTGGCTGGTCTTTCTCAAGTGCAAGCAATTTTAAGCTCTTTCAAACCAAAATAAATGATCTACATCATTTGTTCCAACCCTTTCATTCCCCACTTGTACAAGAAAAAAAAAACCATAGTTGTTGCTGTAACCTTGACAGTTAAGGATTTTCTAGTCCTGTAGGCTTGAAATGCCGAGGTCCATCACTCATCATTTCTTTGACAAATTTGTGTCAACGCTGTCAAAACAGGATTTCATTTCCTCCCAAAGCATGTTCAGATTCTGAAAATACTGCAGCGCCATAAAACCCATGTTCAGTGCCACCAGGTTGTTTGATCTTCAGTGAAAATTGTTGTAGCTTCCCTTCTGACGTTTGCTTAAATCTGTGCTGCAGTTTGCACACGAGGTGTAAAGACGGTGTACGCACTGAAAGATGTTTGATTAGTTGGTAGGTCTCATTTGAAAAAGTGTATGTGCTTGTGAGTATGCCATGTCTAATTGAAAATGCCTCAGTAAGCTGTTTGCACCGCTGTATTTTCTTATGTGCTTTTTAAATCCACAACTTGTATGCTTTATGGAATTTACTGGTCTGCACAAACTTCATCTAATTTCTCAGTGTAACAGATGCATTTCCTGTGCTCTCCCAACACAGAATTGTGTAAAAAGCTAAATGTGTCAAACCTTCACAATGCAGACAATCTATGTGCAGTTAAAACCCAACACACCATCTGTGATATTTGGTAAGACCCCAGGTTGGAAATCATTGTTAAACATGATTCATAGTAGTGTAACACAAAGAAATGTAAATCCACAAAAATGTTAAAGTTTGCATCAGGCTTGTAAAATATAGAGCCCACTGGAAATAATAAATCTCACAAATTTAACAGGGATGAACTGGATAGTAAATTTCACTTTCCAGTCTGCACTAAGCATATATATATTTTTTATCCTCATTGCAAGGCAGACTCAAAAGCTGCACAGAAGGGATTTAACAGCTGACAAAGTGCTAAGGTCAAAGGCCTTTTGGACAAGTTGCACTCACAGCTTGTGATGTCAAACCCGTATTAGTTGAGCCAACATACTATTCAAAGATTTTGACCTGTGTTGACATTTGAGGATTTGCTTTTCTCAGCTTCACCCAAAAGCAAAATAAAACGTATCACTTCATGATAAAAACAAACAAAAAACAACAAAAAAGAACCTTTCTCTCTCCATAACGTCACTCATTCAGCTTGCTTTCACATATTGCTGATCTCAGTCCATCCCTCACACCCAACAGTACTGCTATTCTGGTTCACTCATCGGTCATATCTAGTTCGCAACAACTTTTTTTTTTTTGTTTACCTGCTAAATTGACACAAACTCCAACTAGTACAAAACTCCACTCCACACATCATTTGCAGAGCCCCTTCCACCAGATAACACCCGTCCAACAGCATCTTCACTGACTCCTCATCAAATTTCACACTTCCTATAAAAACTTGCTCCTCACCTTGAAAACCCACAAAAACCTTGTCCCTGGTTTCACAGACCTTCTGCACATTAGCACACCCACTCACACTCCCAACTCTCCAAACATCTCTATTTCTATATCCTGATGCATCTCAGTAATCCAGGTAAAAAATCAAAAAGAAAAAAATTGTATAGGTCTTCTGGACGGGTTCTTCTCTAATGAAACGTTTCGTCTCTTCTCCAAGAGACTTCTTCAGTCTGAGAGTTTCAGGCAAAATTCAGGCTTTTAAGCACTGCTTCCATGTGACTGATACTCACATCACATGGCAATAATTGACACCTAATTAACACCTATTGTTAACAGGGGGTGGAGTGATACTGGCAATAGTCGCACTGTAGGAGGGGGACAACTGAAAACGGAGGCCTCCACCTCTGTTTAATGATGGACGGTCGTTCTTCACAAAAATGGCTTCTTTTACTCCTCTCTCAAACCAACGTTCCTCTCTATCAAGAATGAGAACATCCTCATCTCTGAAAGAGTGACCGCTGGCCTGTAAATGAGTGAAAACTGCAGAGTTCTGGCCATTAGATGTAGCTCGTCTGTGTTGGGACATTCTTTTGAACAGTGGCTGCTTTGTTTGAAATGAAATGAAATGAAATGAAAACCTTCAGGTGAAATTGAAGACCCCAAACCCAGACCCAAACCAGTGGTTTTTCCGTATGTTGCGGGTGTTTCGGAGAAACTGAGACGTTTATTTTCTAAACATGATGTCCCAGTGGCTTTCAAACCCCAAAACACATTACGGCAAAGGCTGGTTCACCCCAAAGATCCAGTTCCCCGGCACAAACAGAGCAATGTTGTATATGCTGTTAAGTGCCAGGAGGACTGCGACCAGTTGTACATCGGGGAAACAAAGCAGCCACTGTTCAAAAGAATGTCCCAACACAGACGAGCTACATCTAATGGCCAGAACTCTGCAGTTTTCACTCATTTACAGGCCAGCGGRCACTCTTTCAGAGATGAGGATGTTCTCATTCTTGATAGYGAGGAACGTTGGTTTGAGAGAGGAGTAAAAGAAGCCATTTTTGTGAAGAAAGACCGTCCATCATTAAACAGATGTGGAGGCCTCCGTTTTCAGTTGTCCCCCTCCTACAGTGCGGCTATGGCCAGTATCACTCCACCCCCTGTTAACAATAGGTGTTAATTAGGTGTCAACGATTGCCATGTGATGTGAGTATCAGTCACATGGAAGCAGTGCTTAAAAGCCTGAATTTTGCCTGAAACTCTCAGACTGAAGAAGTCTCTTGGAGGAGAGACGAAACGTTTTATTAGAGAAGAACCTGTCCAGAAGACCTATACAATTTTTTTCTTTTTGATCTCTTTTTCTAAATCACAAATTAAAACTCTTCTTTTAAAACAGGCACATTCAGTTTAACGTCCTTTTCACATCACCTCCATTTAAGTTACAGTATGTTTGATGTTTTATTATTTATATTGTTTTAAATTGATTTGTGTTCTACTGCAATTTATATTGTTTGTGCAATGTCCGTGAGTGCCATGAAGTTATTTTTATCTTGCAAAAATGATTTGATTGTCAGAAAAGTATATCAGCATATAAAACTTCAAGTCAGATTCACTCAGGATGTTTGTTAGTCTGTAGAAGCTCGGGTTGATAACAGGCTCGTACATACAGCAGTAAACAATGCTACCTGCTGGCTGTCGCTCCAGCAGCTGCCTTCCACTCTGCCTCTCGTTCTCCTCCTGCCTCACTGCTGAGTGAAAAGCCTGAGGCAGTCATGGAGCTGTCCTCGTGGGTGATTTAAAAAAAAAGGAAATGCCTTCAAGCATCTGGGGTTTCCATCCGTACTGTAGCAGGAGGGAGCTAGTCCTACTTTAAATGAAAGGGTGCATAAATAATTTGTCCCCTGATGGCAACATTTCATTTCCTTGCCCGACTGCCACCTCCCATTTTGCTGATCACTCTGAAATGAAACTGACATAAGCTTTTTTTTAGTACCTAAGATATTAAAGGTACACATACATACAAGAAAAGCATTTAGTGTACATCATTTTTGCTGAACAGGCTTGGATCTCTCTGAAAATGGCAGTAATGAAATGCCTTTCCCTACACAGCATTAGTCAAGCACTTTCGTTTAAATTTATCTTTCTGCTCCCAGAGAAAAGAAGTATTTTGGTTAACCCCGACTTACAGTTTAGCAAGTTTTCAAACATGTCCCTTCAACTGGTTAGCAGAGGTGGTTCTGTGTTTTTGAGGCTGCAACTAATGCATGTCTCACAAATGGCTTTACTGTTAATGGCTAATCCTCCTACCCCACAGCCATCTACCTATACAGCATTTAATCCTAAAGCAGGGTGAATGTTTTATGTTAATGTGGGTTTCTGTTGCAATACAAAACAAAGAAATTTCCCAAAAGATTCAATTTATCAAAACTGTTTATATGAACTGCATGAAAGCCAAGTGCAAATGGTCTTTTTTGTCTTATCCAGTGCATTACACTGCACATCTTAATCGTTTTCCAGGAGATTTACTGTCATATTACCCTCTAAAAGCGGTCTTCTTAACATTACTTCTTTACAGCTGTGTAATGCTGAAGTTCATCCTAGGCCAATAGAATATTTAGTTATGGATTTACCCCAGGTCTCCTCCAAGTCAGACGTGCCTGATGTAGCTCTACAGGGAGTCACCCCGGAGGCTTCCTAATTAGATGTGTGTGTTGCCTCGACTAGCTCTTTATCAGTGGGAGTGCTGCTGCAGCAGGTCTACTCAAAGTTCATTCCAAATGTCTGGCTTCTATGATCCCAGCCGGTGGCTCATTTCAACTTTTTGTTTCCATAAATCACAAAATTCACCTTCAGGCTCTCCTCCATTTTCAGCTTGGCATTTCAGTACTTTCCATTAGTCAGTTTGACATATCACTGTAATCTCATTTGGGAGCAAGGTCTATAGATACTTGAACTCTTTCACTCGGGGGGCTTCAGTCCCATGTGCCAGAGGTAGACTGGACTGACAACATTCAGCGTTGCTCACCAGCTCATGGTGCATCTCATTTGTCGCTGTCAGAACTTCTGTTACCATTTCAGTGACTGTTACTGACCTGGCCTTTGTTTTGTAATTTCTAAGTACATAAAGGGCTTGCTTGACTTCCTCTCAATCAGTTGAAAGATGTTGACAGTGTCACATACTTGACAAATTAAAATTTTTTGTTGTATACAGAGGGCTTGAACATTTGATTCTTGAGAGTAGACATGTTGTTTAATTGGTCTGTAATGCTGTGAAAAAAGTGAAAGCGAGTTTTGTTTCCCCATACACGACCAGTCAAAAGTTTGAATTCACCCTCTCGTTCAGTGTCCCTACTCTGCTCCCAGATAGCAAAATATGAGTGAATCAATGCTGAAATGTGGTTAAGTATGTTGAAATTATACAAAAGGTAGTCAGTGATGTACACGTTGAAACATTTAGTTTTCCGTCTTAACTGATGCTATAACAATGTTAATTCAAACTCTCGTTCTCCTCCCCCTTCACCTCCTAGAGCAGGGAGAAAAATGGGGGTTGGGACAAACAGCATACATTGATTCAACATTGATTACACATTGGCATTTCAATCATTAGAATTGCTCAATGAAACAACAGTGATTCAATAACATTTGTTTAACATTGATTAATGGCTAGAATTGGATGACTGTTTGATGGTTGATCCACCATCAATCATCGACCTTAACCAAAAATCAACTTTTTTGACTATAATTCTACATTGAATTAACATCTTTTGCTACACGGGTTCCTCTTTTCCCTATTTTGCAAACCAATATGGAAGTCATCCAGATTATATGGAACACATACTGAAAGGAACCATTTAACTAACCCAAAATCACCAAACATATCAAAATATACCCCCAGATTCTAGACCACTTAAAGCAGGCAACCCTTGCTCTGACCACAGCCTTTCACACTTTTGGCATTCTTTGAAACTCCTTCAAGAAAACCATTCCAGGTGATTACAGAACCTCATGAATCTGATTAAGAGAATGGCAAGAGTGTGCACGGTTCACTGCATGGCTGCTTATGTGTTCCTTCATAGTCTGGATGACCCAAATACCATCACCACAATGTTGGGGGAAAAAAACATGTAAAAACATTGAATGAGAAAATTTGTCCAGACTTTTCACTGTAAGTGTGTAGTCACAAATTAAAAATAACCAAAAATCTATGGTCATCTCAGTTATAGGGATAATGCAAGTCTTTTTTTAAATGGGTTCTGTGGAATTTTTTTTAAACAATATTAAACCTACTAACTTGTTGAATGCCTTGAGTTTGAAGAGTTCATTTTTAATAAGCTTGATGAGCTAGCAACTTATCCAAGTGCCATCAGTATTAATATGGACTGCTGAAATTTTAAAACAACCTCAATCTCCAAAATTTAAAAGGAAACCATGCTAAAGTGTTTGATTGTTGTTTTTTTTTTTTTTTTTTTTTTTTTTTTTTTTTTTTTTTTTTTTTTTTTTTTTTTTTTTTTT